AAGGTTGTATTCTTTTACCATACTTATTCAACCTGTATGCTGAGCAAATAATCCGAGAAGCTGGGTTCTATGAAGAAAAACGTGGCATCAGGATGGGAGGAAGACTCATCGACAACCTGCGATATGCAGATGATACAACCTTGCTTGCTGAAAATGAAGAGGACTTAAAACATTTACTGATGAAGATGAAAGACCACAGCCTTCAGTATGGACTACATCTCAATATCAAGAAAACAAAAGTCCTCACCACTGGACCAATGAACAACATTCTTATCAATGGAGAAAAGATTGAAGTTGTCAAGGACTTCATTCTTCTTGGATCAACTATCAACACTCAACGGAAGCAGCAGTCAAGAGATCACATGACGTATTACATTACACAAATCGGCTGCACAAGACCTTTAAATCTAATGTAGTAATTCCAAATTTCTTCATTAGAGTTAGAGTTTTTCATGCTTTTTTGGCGTTTTACTACCAAAAATAACACAAACAAAAACACTTTGAAGGCTAAAACACTTGATGAGTTTAACTTTGCTAGCCATGACTTTCAATGCATTTGAAATGTGGAACTGGTGAAGAATATTGAAAGTACTGCCAGTAGAACAAGCAAATCTGGCTTGTGGAAGTGTAGCCAGAGTGCTTCTTGGAAGACTTCGTCTTGCATTCTTTGGTCATGTTGTCAGGAGGGACCAGTCCCTGGAAAGGGACAACATGTTTGGCAAAGTAGAAGGTCAGCAAAAGGGAGGAAGATCCTCAACAAGATGGATTGTCATGGTGGCTGCAGCAGTGGGCTCAAGCATGACCAGTGTGAAGATGGTACAGGACTGGACAGTGTTTTGTTGTGTTGTGTATAGATGGCATCACTATGAGTCAGAACTAACTCAACGGCATCTTACAATAACAACAGCAATGGGTTTAACGAGTTGTGAGTGATATTTTTTTAAATTTTTTGGAAATATGTAGCTATTTCTGTTTACAAAAAGTTGTTTGTCAGGTTCATAGAAATATTAAATAAGATATTTTAATTTATTTTATATATCTTTGTATTTTCTTCTGTTTTTGCCATAAAAGGAGCATAAAACAAAAATCCTTACAAATGAAGAAAAAATTGAAGTTGTCAAGGATTTTATTTTACTTGGTCCACAATCAGTGCCATGGAAACAGCAGTCAAGAAATCAAAATATGTATTGCATTGGGCAAATCTGCTGCAGAAGATCTCTTTGAAGTATTAAAAAGCAAAGATGTCACTATGGTGACTAAAGTACATCTGACTCAAGCCCTGGTGTTTTCAGTCCCTCATATACTTGAAAAAGCTGGACAATGAATAACAAAGACTGAAGAAACATTGGTACATGTCAGTTATGATGATGAAGACTGTCAGAAGAACAAACAAATCTGTGTGGGAAGAAATACAACCAGAACTCTCCTTAGAAATGAGGATGCTGAGACATCATCTTACACACTTTGGACATATTATCAGGAGGGACCAGTCCCTGGAGAAAGTCATAATACTTGACAGAGTAGAGAATGTGTGAAAAATATGAAAATGAGATGAATTGACTTAATAGCTACCACAATAGGCTCAAACATAGCAATATTTATGAGAATGACTCATAACTGGGCAGTGTTCTGTCTGTTGTACATAGGGTTGCTATGAGTCAGAATCAATTCAGTGGTACCTAGCAGTAGCAACAATATATAAGAATTTTATAACAACATATAGTAAGAATTGTTAGATGTTAGACATTGTAATTTACTTTCAATATATGTTTAAAGTATGGAGCTCTGGTAGCGTAATGGTTACGAATAGGGCTGCGAACCTTAAGGTCAGCGGTTCGAAACTACCAGCCGCTCCGCGGGAGAAAGATGAGGCTTTCTACTCCCGTAAAGATTTACACCCT